CTAAGGTTGCTGCTGGAAGAGGTGTTAGTGGGGCCAGCAGGGGGCGCTCACCCTGTGGTCCACGTGGGTCCTAATGCCCCAGTATAGTGATGGGCACACTATACTGTAAACAGGTGCCGTCCTTTGGATGAGACGTAAAACCGAGGTCCTGACTCTCTGTGGTCATTAAAAATCCGAGGGCGTTTCTCGAAAAGAGAAGGGGTGTAACCCCGGTGTCCTGGCCAAATTTCCAATTGGCCCTTACCAATCATGGCCTCCTAATAACCCCCATCTATGAATTGGCTACATTACTCTGCTCTCCTCCCCACTGAGAGCTGATGTGAGGTGGGGCTGCACACTGGTGGTGGAGGGGATCCCCATTACCTGTAAAGCGCTTTGAGTGGAGTGTCCAGAAAAGCGCTATATAAGTGTAAGCAATTATATAATTATATAATTATCAGTTACCCTGAGCCTGTGTCTGATGGAGACGGCAGCCCGTGGATGTGACGGGCGCGTCGCTCATTGAGGACGCTGCGCCTGGGGCCGGCAGGGGGCGCGCAAGCGCTGCCGTGCTGGGGGGCTCTGGGGGCGCGGGCGGCCGGCGCTGTTAATTGAAAGAGTGATTATTACGCGCTTAGAAGTTCATTACTGTTCGCAGCAGCGTCCCACGGCGCCCCAATTAGCACTCAGCTGCGCGAGAAAGGCACTGCAGAAACAACAGATAATTAATCATGATCAGAGCGAGTCCTCGCCCCCCACACGAGCACGCCACAGCTTCTGCTCCCCAGAATCCCCCGGGACTCGGGCAGCCATGTTTCCTGCGGTCCTGTGGGGCAGACAGCGCTGAAACCCTGTGCGGCCGTGGTGGTGCGTGGGAAGGCGCTGCGGTGGGTGCAGGGACGCCCTCACGATGCAAGAGGCTTCTCTGGGAAGCAGACGCGTGTCTACGCGCCCCTCACACACACTTCGGCTGCGGGTCCTGGTGCGCCTCTTGTGTTTGAGAGAGATGCCCGAGCTCCTGAATGAGCTTCGGGGGGGCCTTGTGCAATCCTAAACCTTAGGTCAAAGGTCAAACCCAGTCAAAGTTTCTGTTGTCACGCAGTGTGACTGCGCGACTTCGGGTCTGTAGCATGAGCAGCTCCCGCAGACAACGAGAGCGATTGTGACCTTTCTGGGACCTATGACCTTTTGCCCTGATCAATCTGTAAACGTGTCTTCTGGAGCTGCTGTGTTTCTTTTCCGAGCCGGTGACGGTTAGCTTGTCTGTTGCGAAAGCCACGTGGGTCCTGGCTGGGAGGGAGCCTTGTGCTTACTTGCCACTGCTGCGCTCCTGTGCTGCGTTGAGCTCGGTGTGTGTCGCTGCGCTGCGGAGCTGCTGTGTTTTGTGGGTGTCAGGAAGGCGCACTGTGTGTGTTTGGGGTTGACTGCTCAGTTACTGATCTGGCAGCAGCGTATTCCTGTCACCACGGAAACCATTAGTTGCCAGGCAACCAGCCCATCATCTGTAGCGGAGTCTGAGAGTCGCATCTAATTACGGGATCGCAACAGCTCTCTGTGAATCCAGCAGCACTGTCTGCCTTGGGGGGCCAGCGAGGGGGGGTGAGACCAAAATAAATGAAAATGTTAGAGAGGGAGGTTGAGGAGAGACAGAGGGCGCAGAGATTACTACAGGGCGAAGATGAAAAGCAAGGGAGATGTCGGTGTGTAATGCGCTGCTCATCTCTAGTCCATTCAGCCTGGCCCACTCATTTCTGGGATAGAAAGCAGAATCTCAGCCTCCTCATGTAAACCTGACCCTGTGTCGCAGACATCTGCAGCTCTCTGTGTAAAGTGCCTCCTGCTGTCAGTGTTCTGGGGCCTTGGGGTTCTTCCGGGTGGGTCTGTGTGCTCGTGTTCCAGGTGGGTCTGTGTACCAGGAGGGTCTGTGTTCTAGGTGGGTCTGTGTGCCAGGTGGGTCTGTGTGCCCATGTTCCAGGTGGGTCTGTATGCTTGTGTTCCAGGTGGGTCTGTGTGCTTGTGTTCCAGGTGGGTCTGTGTACCAGGTGGGTCCGGGTGCTTGTGGGTAGGAGTGGGTACTCACACACAGCAGCCTGTCTGTGGAACGCTCATGTTCACAGTCCTGTGTCCCACTCTGTATCTCTCACTCCTTCTGCTCGATCTCCCGCTCTCTGACCTGACACTGCCCCTGTCCGCAGCCTGTCTTCCTCCCTCTTCATCCCTCCATCCTCTCCCCCTCGCTCTGGGTCCCCCAGTCTGTCTCGGCACGAGTTTTTTGTTCTTTTGCATTTCCTGCTGAATTCCATATGACTTCTGCCTCCTGAGGTGATCGCCTGCTGCTGACGAGCCTAATTAAACATGCAAAACAGACACGAAGCACCGCACGGGCACCACAGCCACAGGACGAGCGGCTCGCTCGCTGCCCTCCGGATTAAACAGCGTGCCTCGTCACGGGCACCGCGAATTAATCCCTTCTTTTTGTGGTGGTTTTCTTCCCTCTGTTTTTATGTTTATTTCCTTATTTGAAATTTTTATTAATCCATTTAAATAGCTTCAAATTGACTCATCTCTGTGAAGTTCTTGCCTCGAAATGCTCAGCACTTTTTTACCAGCTTTTAGTGTTTGTTTTATTTAATGTCCATGATAATTACAGCCTTAAATTAGAGGTATAATTTACCTCTTTCCTTTGTTCAGTATTGTTGCCCTTTGAGAGAAGAAGACGTTTGCCAAGAATTGATACTGGGGTGTCAGGTGCTGTCGCTGTTGATATAACTCTAAATTGAAACATTTTCATGTAGTTGTACTACAGCTCACTATTTTAACTTGAGTAATTCACTAAATTTTTACTACAGCTCACTAAGAAATGTCTGTTATAGTGCAATGTATTAAAATAATATAACAGTTCCTAATAAGTACTAATCCAGTTATGACTATTGTATTACAGTCTTATCACTACTGATTACTGAAACATGACTATTGTACTGTATTTGTATCTACCACCATTGGAACACTTTTCTAACATACCTTCACTACAGATCCCTACTGAAAAACAACTGTTCAAACCTACCTTCACTACAGCTCACTACTGAAACACAATTATTTTTACATACCTTCACAACTTAAACAACTATTCTAACATATGTTCACTATAGCTCACTGCTGAAACACTACTATTGTCACATACCTTCACTACAGCTCACTACTGAAACACAACTATTCAAACCTACCTTCACTACAGCTCACTACTGAAACATGACTATTCTTACATACCTTCATTACAGGTCACTACTGAAACACAATTATTTTTACATACCTTCACAACAGATCACAACTGAAACAACTATTCTAACATGTTCACTATAGCTCACTGCTGAAACACTACTATTGTCACATACCTTCACTACAGCTCACTACTGAAACATGACTATTCTGCAGCATTTGCACTGCAGCCTCCTGTCTAAACACAGTGTGCTTCAGCAATGCACCGCATCTGTGAACTCGGGAGGTCAACAGAGGCAGCCAGCCTTAGCTCTACATTAGGATGTTTCAAGCCCTCAGCACGTACTTGGGAAGCTCGATCGAGTGTTTTATGTCATGTTTTCACCCCTTTAGTTATGGTCATGCTGTATGAAGAGTGTTACCTCCCGTGTCTGTGGATGAGACATGGCAGGTGTCGAGAGAGTGCAGGCGGTAGGGGTACAGTAGTGCAGTAATAGACTCTCTCTGTCTCTGTGCAGTTCGCCTGTTCCGGCTCCTCTCTCTCCCAGGATAAACCCATTTACATTCTCTTTTCGGCCTTCAAATCCGCCACCGTTTCCATGACAACACCCCCCTCTCTCGTCATCTCCCTCCCGTCGTGTTTTCCTCCTCTCTTTCTTTCTCTCCTTTTTCTCTCTGCTGCCTTTCTCTCTCCGTCCTTCCCTCGTCTCTCGTCCCTCTGAGCACCTCCCTCTCTCGCTCGGCTGAGAGTGGCACAGACAGCCCTGCCTCCGAGCTGCCCCTTCCACAGGCCCGCCACTGTACGCCCCAGCGTCCCAGAAGGAATCTATCGGGAGTGTTCAGAGAGCCGAGGTTAACCTCACACACCTGCCGTCGTTCCCCAACACACGGTTCCCCACTCTGGATCTGAGCCCTTCAGTTCAAACTGCTCACTGTAACATCCTGCAAAATCCGTTGCACCTAAACCTAACAAACCGCTTCAGTAAGAGAACAAGAAGATGAACTTTTTGGGAGTTTCCTCACAGAATCATTTCCAAACAGGAAGATGCTGTGGATGCAGACCTTGGAGGTTTTCACCTGTTGGCATCATCACAGCTGCACCAGCAGGGAGGGCAGTGTGAGCTGCTCTTTATACTGCTCCAATTACCCCGGGACTACAGGACTCCGGGGCTCTGGGGCCAAGAGGAGAACGCAAGAGCAGGAGGAGACAGGCAGACGACAGGAAGCTGTTCAGCCTGTCTTACCTGACTGCTTGTGAGCAGATGATTAATAATAATTATTAATAACTCCTTACAGCTCTATAGCTCTTCTCTGGACCCTCCACTCAGAGCTCTTTACAGGTCATGGGGATCCCCTCCACCCCCACCAGTGTGTACCCCCACCTGGATGATGCTCCAGTCCGCTCCCCACACACCAGCTCTCAGTGGGGAGGAGAGCAGAGTGATGAGGCCAGTTCAGAGACGGGGGTTATTAGGAGGCCATGATGGGTAAAGACCAGGAGGAGATTTGGCCAGGACACTGGGGTAACACCCCTACTCTTCTCGAGAGACACCCCGGGATTGTTAATGACCTCAGAGAGTCAGGACCTCGGTTTTATGTCTCAAGGACGGCGCCTGTTTACAGTATAGTGTCCCCATCACTGTACTGGGGCATTAGGACCCACACAGACCCCAGGGTGAGCGCCCCCTGCTGGTGAGCACCGTCATGAAGAGTGACGTCACATTTCGCTGTCCCCACAGGACAGCGCTGTCCCCAGGAGCCCTCGGTCACTGAACACATTCAGAACACTGCCAGGTAGCGTTAAATTGACAGATCCTTTTTTCCATTTGCATCATCGCAAAGTTCTCTCACCTGTTTTTGCACAGATTTTCTTTTTAAGTGATAGCCAAATGCTGACCTTTCTGGAGTAGACACGAGTCACCGATCTATACTGAAGCGTGAAGTCTAGTTTCGTATAGCTGTAGCAGCTTGGGATTGTCAGACTAAACAAGGGGACCCCAGCCGAGCACTTTCTGGGGGTGTCCTTGATACATCTGGCTCAGTCTGTGTCTTTCACAAGCACCAGTCTTAACAAGAGCAGTTAGGTGCTGTCTGCTTGGGTTTTATACATTTCCCTAATTAAACTAATCTTAATCTTAGTCTAAGTCTTCCACTTAAAAGATAGTTCAAAAGTGGAGCACTAGGCTGTGTTCCCAGGTTAATGGAAACTTTTATGAGGTAAGGGGAATTTTCAGAGTCACTGTATCACCTCACAGAATTGCTTCAAAAAGCAATTAATTCACTGTAACTCGAGATCAGTATCTCTCTCCAACTGAACTTAAAAAAAGTAAGACCTGCTTTCCCCAGTATTGTGTGGGGAGAGTCTGTTTCTGACTCATTGCACTGTGGCTGTGTTATTAGTGTAAATGGGTGATTTTAAATGTCCAAGTGTTCATGTTATGATTTGTCATGTTGTCATGATATTAAGGTCAGGAACAGGCCAGTTAGCAAACCTGGTGTTTTATTGTGGTGTTTTGTGGTATTTCTGAACAGCACCAGACCTCACTGTGTGTTGTATCCTCATGAAGACAACACAGAGGGTTAATGCCTCACAGTTTCAGGGCCCAGGTTCGATTCTGGTTGGGGTGGCTGTCTGTGTGGAGTTTGCATGCTCTCCTCATGTTTGCCAGGTGTGCAGGTGGAGGTTTCTGGGGCAGAGGGTCCCAGGGTGACCTGCACTGATTACGCCCGTCATCTGCAACAGGACCTGGTGAGAGCAGAGTGTAAAAACCTGGCTGTGAACCTGTGCTTGTTCTGAGGTCATGGTTTGGCTTTACAGGATGAACTTTCTTTGCCAGTGGAAATAACAGAGCAAACTTTGCTTTAGAGTCATTGCGGTATGGAAGGAAATGCTATTACATTGGAAGAGTGTATGAGTGAAAATACAATCAACGAGGCGGACACAGGCCTGGTGTGGTGTTGCCCCCCGCGGACCCACGGCCACCAGCCTGCAAAAGTACCGGCTTCAACCACATGGCTGGGGAGCTTGTTCCACACTCCCGCCACCCTCTGTGTAAAGACGTGGCTGCTCTCAGCTGCGAATAAGCACGTGCCACGAGCTGAGGCTAGCCCGTAGACAGGTTGAGGACCAGCGGTGAGCTGATGGTGACGATGACAACCCGCTCTCTGGCCAGTTAAGCGGTGCGATGCCCCTCGGCTTCCGGGAGGGGCCCCTGGCTGCGCAGGCCGCCCAGTGCTCGCGGGGGACGGGACAGCGGTCCTCTGTTTCCGGGCCGTGCGCGGCTCTTATTCTGACGCGGGCGGAGCGAGCGGTTCTGTTGTCCCGAAATGATCATCCCGACTCGGGGGGAGAAGCGGGGCTGTGCTTCGACAAGATCCGGCCGGGCATCGCCGTCTCACCGGGGACACGCAGCGCCCCGACCCTCCCCGTCACTCGTCGCTGTCCCGCGTCCGTCGCCTTCCCCTCCGAAACTTCAAACGCGCACGACAGCGGGAGCGCCGCACTACACACAGCCCCGGGATCGAGCGCACGGCGGCGCAAGGAGACGGGAATAAATAAATAAAAGAAAAATGGAAACAAGGCTGCGTTTTTAAAAAAAGAGCTGTCACGGTAGCCACCAACAATAACATAAAATAAAAAACAAACAGCTGAAAGGGAATCTGGGGCGCGTCTTCGGTGCCAGCCTGTCCCGGACTCTCACAGCACTGCAAGGCGAGAGACTGCGAAGCAGGAAGAGGGGCTCGCCTGTGCTGTGTGTCAGCCAGGCGGTGACTTCAGTGATCTGCGTGAGTGTGTGTGTGTGCGTGTGTCTGCGTGCGGGGTGGCCGCGATGGACTCCTCTCTCCGCGCTCGGCTCCCGTAGAGGAGCCATGACAAGCTGCCTTCGCCGCTGGGACTCGTCTTCCTCCCCAAACAGCGAGCGCCAGCGCCGGCCGCCCGGCACCGCCTTCCCCTGCGCGATCCGCCCGGCCCGAGCGGCGGGGCGCTGGGCGTGAGAGCCGGCCGGTGCCGCCGCCACAGCACCGGGGGATCCGCGGGGTCTGTCGGCTGCCCGTGCCCGCTGACAGCGGCCTCCCTTCTTCTCACGGCGGAATGAGGTGAGGACGACACCGCCGGAGCGGCTGCAGCGAGCAGCTCGCCGCACACTGCAGCGGGGCCTGTCCGAGGGACGCCAGCTCCTCTCCCCGGCGGCTGTCTCGCTGCCTTCGTGCTGCTCCGCGCCGCAGCTCTGCTCCGCTCCGCTCCGAGGCGCTGCAAGGCTGTTATGAGGGGTTATAGTTTTGAGCTGCCATATTTAAATACAAGCGTCCGAGGCAAAGAATTTTGTTTTTACTGTCGCTTAACTGGCAAGTAGAAAACCCCATTAGGAACGGACTAGAGGCGCAAGAGCTTCTAGTGTTGGTTCCCCCTGACGAGCCGGTCCTGCACCGTGCGTGGCCGGGCAGCGGAGAGCTCAGGAATGTGCCTCCGCTCCGGGGACCCGGCGGGCGCTGCGCGGCTCCTAACAGCTACGGGACAGGCAGCATCGGACTGGAGGGGTCTGGAGTGCAGACCGAGCTCCGCTCAGCAGCCTGACCGCTGGGGTCTAATTCCGAATAGGTGACGGGCGAGCAGGTACAGTGGGCTCTGGAGAGGGAGAGGAGAGGGGGTACAGTGGGCTCTGGAGAGGGAGAGGGGGTACAGTGGGCTCTGGAGAGGGAGAGGGGGTACAGTGGGCTCTGGAGAGGGAGAGGAGAGGGGGTACAGTGGGCTCTGGAGAGGGAGAGGAGGTACAGTGGGCTCTGGAGAG